TGTGTGTGTGTGTGTGTGTGTGTGTGTGTGTGTGTGTGTGTGTGTGTGTGTGTGTGTGTGTGTGTGTGTGTGTGTGTGTGTGATATGAAATCTATCATGATAATAAAGAAAAATGATATTAATAATAGTAAAAAGGATAATAATGATAACAATAATAGTCATAATGATAATAGTGATAACAGTAATAATTATAATGATGGTGAAGATATTCATAATAATAATAATAATAATAATAATAATAATAATAATAATAATAATAATGATAATAATGATATTAATAGTAATAATAATGATAATGGTAATAGTAATAATAATGATAATAATAATAATAATAATAATAATAATAATGATAATAATAATAATAATGATAATAATAATAATAATAATGATAATGATAATAATAATAATAATAATAATAATAATAATAATAGTGATAATATAATAATAATAATTATAAATATAATAATAAAAAGCAATAATGACGATAATAACATTAACAATATAAATAACAACAATGATAAAAATAATAATAATAATAATAATAATAATAGTAATCATAATGACAGCAATAATAACACCAGCACCACTCCCCAGGCAAGTGGGGATGGCCTGTGATTGGCTGCCTTCCCTCCGACGACGTGTCTCTCGGTGAGCAGGTCATGGAGCTCAGGAAGGAACACGGGGATATCATTTCGTGAGTTTCTTTGTTTGTTTGTTTTTTTTCTTTTCTTTTCTTTTCTTTTTTTTTGCTGTTTTCTGTATTTTCTTGTGGCTGTTGTTTGGTGGTTGTGGTGGTATAATCATTGTTGTTGTTATTGTTATTATTATTATTATAATTAGCAGTTGTAGTAGTAGTAGTATTGCTAATTTTATTATTACTATTATTATTATTATTACTATTACTATTATTATTATTATTATTTTGTCATTATTGTTATTGGTGGTGGTAGTACAATTATTTTTATTATTAGTGCTGTTGTTGTTTCTGTTGTTGTTATTACCGTCATTATTACCATTATTATTTTTTATTATTATCATTATCACTACTATTAATATTATTGTTATAATCATTATCATCTAATCTTATTATTATATTTATTGTTATTAACATTACTGTTTGTGTTGTTCTTATTATCATGCTGTTATTATTGTCATTATCATTATTATCATCATTATTACTATTATCATTACCATCGTTATTATGACCATTACTATTGTTGCTGACGATTATCAATGTTATTATAGTTAATATTGTCACCATCATTATTAGTAGTACAAATTTTGTAATTATTATTAATTTTATTGTTATCATTATCATCGTTACCATCATTATAATCACTATCATCATTATATTTCTCATCATCAGCAGCAGCATTACTATTACATTGATTGTGTCGTTATTATGATCGTTGATATTAACTAACATTGCTGACAGTACCATTACTGTTATTATCAATAGTTTCATTATTGACATGAGCAATACTTCTATCATCATTATCATTATCATCTTTTTAATAATCATCAACGTTTTATTGTTTTCATTATCATTATTATTATTATCATTGTTATTATCATTATTATTGCTAACATTATCTTCATCATTGCAGTGCCAGGGATGGTGATGATAACAATAATAACAATGTGATAATGATGACAATATTAAGCATTGTCTATTATTCGTCACACAATATTTTTTCCTAAATCCTCTTTTGTAGTCTCTAATCTTTCAGTTCTTCCCTCTTACTTTGTATCCACGTTTTATATCCCCCACGTATTATTATTATAATTAATCTCTTTAATTCTCTCTTCTATTTAAAAAGAGAAAAAGAAACATTTTTTCCCCTCGTGTTACTATAACAATTAATCACTTTATTCTCTCTCTTTCATCAATACACACACACACACACACACACATACACACACACACACACACACACACACACACACACACACACACACATATATATATATATATACATAGATGGCGCATGGCTAGTCGAATCTTCATTTTCTTCTGCGACCCGAAGATCATCAAGACCGCTTTCTCCAAGTTGGAATTCTCCGACAGACCCGACTTCTACAGCTTCGATGTTTTCTCCAATTTCATTAAAGCTGGTGAGTGTTTGTTTGTTTGGTGGGGATAGATGGTTGGATCGTTTAGTGTAATTGTTTGTTGTTGTTTGGATTGGTTGGATATTCAGTGTGTGTGTTGTGTGTGTGTGTGTGTGTGTGTGTGTGTGTGTGTGTGTGTGTGTGTGTGTGTGTGTGTGCGTGCGTGTGTGTGTGTGTGTGTGTGTGTGTGTGTGTGTGTGTGTGTGCGTGCGTGCGTGCGTGTGTGTGTGTGTGTGTGTGTGTGTGTGTGTGTGTGTCTGTGTGTGTGTGTGTGTGTGTGTGTGTATGTGTGTGTGTGTGGGTGTGAGTGTGAAAGTGAGTGTGTGTGTGTGTGTGTGTGTTTTGGGAGAGGAGAGATCGGGTGCGTTGCATTGTATATAAGGGTACAGGTATGGGGATATAGTGAGACGCGGAGCAAGGGGGGATTTCGTGTGAGTTAGAAATTAGATAACAGATTATGAGATTGATATAAAACAGAGATATTAGAAGGAAAATCATCAGAAATATAATACGCATCTACAATCAGTGTTTCCGAAATTTTCTTCTTACATAAAACCAGTATAATAAACATAAACTATAAAAAAAAACAAGAAATTCCTATAAATGCTTTCTCACATTTCCTGCAACAAAAAGGTCTCACCAACATCAACGGGAAACTATGGGTAAACAACAGAACCTTTGCCCTTCGCCACCTGAAGCAGCTGGGCATGGGGAAGTCCTCCTTAGAAGAAGCAGTTCACTACGAAGCAGCGTGCATGGTGGAGGACTTCAAGAAACACACGAACAAAACGGGACGCCTGCCGTGGTCCCTGAACGTGGCGATCCTCAACGTCATCTGGAAAATGAGTGCCAGTGGGTGGAGCTTTTGCTTTTTTGTCTTCTTTTTTTTCATTTTCATTTTTTTTACGTTCTTAAATTGTTAAAGACGTGAAGATTTTTTTCTGGTATACCTTTTTTCTAAGTGGCAGACTTCAATTAAAGAAACTGTTATTCCATTCCGAAAAAAATACCTTATTGATGTGAGGGCTTTTGTTTTGGTAAAGTAAAAAAAGATGAATTGTCTAAAAATGCATTATGTCAACGCTATATACACTGAGAGTAGCAACGAGTGGAGTGTTCTGTACAATCAAAGTTCTTATTTTGTGTTTATTTATATTATTTTTCATCCCATAATTTACCCCATTCTCACATTACATTTTTCTGGGGGGAATATTTTTTTTCCTCAATCACCCAGAATAAAGGCTCAGTCTTAACCTACCCTTTTAGAAGTTCATGATTTTTTTCTCTTAACTTCGCCCTTTCAGTTTTTTTTTCAGTTTTTCCTTTAAGTTCATCCATTTCAGATTATCTTTACCTACTTCATCCGATTGGACTTTTTTTATCCTAGTATCTTCATCCATTCTGATTCTTTCTCTCTCTCTCTCTCTCTCTCTCTCTCTCTCTCTCTCTCTCTCTCTCTCTCTCTCTCTCTCTCTCTCTCTCTCTCTCTCTCTCTCTCCCTCCCTCCCACCCTCTCTCCCTCTCTCCCTCTCTCCCTCTCTCCCTCTCTCCCTCCCTCCCTCCCACCCTCTTTCTCTCTATCTCCCTCTCCCTCTCTCTCCCTCCCTCTCCCTCTCCCCTCTCTCTCTCTCTCTCTCTCTCTCTCTCTCTCTCTCTCTCTCTCTCTCTCTCTCTCTCTCTCTCTCTCTCTCTCTCTCTCTCATTTCCTCTCCTCCCTCTATCTCTCTCTCCCTCCCTCTCCCCCTCTCTCTCTCTCTCCCACCACCATTAATCTCCCTCTTTCTCTCTCTCTCTCTCTCTCTCTCTCTCTCTCTCTCTCTCATTCCCTCTCCTCCCTCTATCTCCCTCTCCCTCCCTCTCTCTCCCTCTCTCCTCTCTCTCTCTCCCACCACCATTAACCTCCCTCTCTCTCTCTCCCTCTCTCTCTCTCTCTCTCTCTCTCTCTCTCTCTCTCTCTCTCTCTCTCTCTCTCTCTCTCATTCCCTCTCCTTCCTCTATCTCTCTCTCCCTCCCTCTCCCCTCTCTCTCTCTCTCCCACCACCATTAACCTCCCTCTCCCTCTTCCTCCCTCTCCTTCCCTCCCTCCCTCTCCCTCCCTCTCTCCCCCCTCTCTCTCTCTCTCTCTCCCACCACCATTAACCTCCCTCTCTCTCTCCCTCTCTCTCTCATTCCCTCTCCCCTCCCTCTCTCTCTCCCTCTCCCTTCCTATCCCTCCCTCTCTCTCTCCCTCCCTCCCTCTCCCTCTCCCTCTCCCTCCCTCTCTCTCTCTCTCCATTAACCTCCCATTCACTATCCCTTTATCCCTTCACCTCCTTCCTCAGACCAGCGTTTCGCCGTGGACGATCCTGAGATCCAGAGGTTCAGCCGGATCATCAGGTCCCTCTTCGACGACTTCCAGGGCCCCGTGGTGTGGTTCGACCTCATGCCCTGGCTCATCCCCATCGCCCCGACCTTCGTCAAGCGGTGGATGGGCATCGAGCAGTTGAAGGACAAGATACAGGAGATTTTCGAGTATATGGAAGTGAGTTGGGTGTTTGGGATTTTTTTTATTTGATTTTTTCTTAAATTTGTTATTTATTTACTTGTTTTTTTTGTTTTTATTCATGGATGATTGGCTGATCGATGTGGTTGATTGATTGGTTTGATTTGTTTGGTTCCAGCTTCACTGTAGATACTTGATCATTAAATGGAAGAGATGAGAGGGAGAGAGAGAGAGAGAGAGAGAGAGAGAGAGAGAGAGAGAGAGAGAGAGAGAGAGAGAGAGAGAGAGAGAGAGAGGCAGACAGACAGACAGATAGACAGACAGACAGACAAAGAATAAAAAAATAGTAAAATAATATTCTTTCTTATCAACAGAATTCCATCAAAGAGCACCAGGCTAAGTTGGA